CTGACATGTAGCTATTCTTTACTTTCATGAGGACAAATCCATAGGAAGATATTTTTAGTTAAGCAAAGACTCAGATACTGAGGTTTTCTGAGCACTCGAGCCTCCTGCATAATCTTGTCCAAGCCAGTCCTAAAGCCTCAAACACAAATATGGTTGGCCTTCCCTTAAGTGAAAAAATGGGGCATCACAGGACTGCAGTTTTGAAGCCTCTCTCAGTTTTTCTATTACCAGTGGCCCCCAAATTGACTGATAGAGAAACCTGGGCTGGATTTTTTATTTACATTCAATACCTGCTTGCTTGATTAAACAACTCTGAGCAGCCTTCACTTTCCCAAAACTCCAGTAGCACAGGACTGTCTGAGGAACCAAGATACCTGTGGATTAATGGTTACTGAAACACAGCCTTTCTTTCCCTGTCTCTGAGGTGTGAAGTGTATTTCCCTCCATTTAGCCTTCCCATCCCAATTTCTGATGTAAGAAGCAAACAGAAGATGATCCATGACTACCACCAAAATCTCGGTGGTAAATCTTTCCCATTGCCCGCGGGAGAAGCCACACAAAGGCCTTTGCCCCTCCCGGAGCTCAGCAGTGCTCACTGGAGCTGTGTGTCACATCTGCTGATGCTAACACTTTGTGAGAGCTAAAGCTGTGCAGTTCTAATGCTCAGCTGCTGGACAGTCACTGTGCTCCAGGTAACTGGGGATGCAGCGAATTTGTAAAGTCGGGTTCTTTTCTGATCTCTGTTATTTCTATAGCCAGAGGGGTTTTCTTCTTGTGTGATTTCTACAGGATAACTCTAGGTAATGTTACTATTGCTTTATTGTTACCTGACACACTTCAGTGAGGTTTTCTCCTGCTTTGATTAGCGAGAAAATGATTTTTTGGAGAAAAGCCCATGATAGTACCTTTTATAGTGACAAAACTGATTTAAAAGAGGACTAAAAGAAGGAAGTAGTAGCACAGAGAGCAATTTGAAATAACGGATCACTGTGGCCAGAACATTTGATGTGAAGAATTCTATTGTGTAGAAAAAGCTATAGAAATATCTTGGTATGGTAGAAATAGAAAGATCAAAATAAAGAAATGCATTTTTCATTTTCATCTCTACTATTTGTGTTTTTCAGCATATATTTTAAATTCTGTCAAGTGACTTCTTTATTTCTATTATAGTATCAGCCAATCACTATTTTACTTCATACACAAGCAAGAATAAAATCATCCCTTTTTCCTCTTGTTGGTTTATTAATATCACTATTCCTTGTGAAAAAGAAGAAATATGAAGGAAGAAATATTTTTTCATCTTTTACTTGCATGATTACAATCTGTAGCCATGTTCAACTGGCTTCAAGCTACAAGAAAATCATGTCTTGATAGGGTAAGATTCTTTAGGGAATTATACTATGAGATAAAAAATTCTCTTCAGACTAGAAAATATATTTGGCAAGAAAAATTTAAATTACAAGTCTCTTCCATGCTACACAGAATAACTGCACAAACGCTTTAAATATGGAATTATGCTTTTAAAACCTTTAACACAATAAAGACCCATAGTGAGATTCAACAGTGATAATGCAATGAATAACAAAGCTGAAGAAAATACAACTGCTGATAGAATCATCAGGCAGATGGGGCTATCTGTATTGAGGATACAGGGCATGTGTGTGTGCTTTATGTCTTCACTTAGCAGGTTCTGTTACATTCTATTCATGTTCTCTAGAGCTTTAAATTAAGAGTAGATTCCTTTAGAACTGGTAGGTTTTCTTCTTTTAGTTTGTATGAGACTATGCAGTTAGTTTAAAAAGAAGCAGTATCCTATAAACTAACCTGCCAATATGTATTTATTGCCATGGTTTTTTTAGTTTGCTCTGTTGCAGAGGGATAGGTGCTGTGATGCCAAGTCCTGCAAGCTGAAGATGTGTCTGGGATTTTTAGGAGGCAAAGCTTGGCACAGATTTCTTGCCTGACTACACCATTGAGGCATATTTTTACCACAAGGGACTTGAAGGATTTTTTTCAGTTTGCATTTGTCTCATCTCACATGTACCTAAGGTACCTTATGCACTGTCTCCTTGTCCCCCTTTGTGCACTGTTCATGCATACTGAGCTGCTCTCTAGAGTTCTTTTGGACCCTGCTGTCTCACGTTCCCAGGAGCGCTGGTCCCGGGCTGGTTGTACCAGCTGTCTTTAGGAGCAGCACAGCCTCTTGCTGATTACCTGTCGGGTGTGCTGTGCTCACTCTGTGTTACTTATGGCCTTTCTTAGCCACCCAGAGGACTAAAACTCTTGCCAGGATTTCAGCCTCCCTGTCTTGAAGACTCTGGTATCTTTTCCCTTCCCAGTGTGGTCTGATCCTGTTTGTGACTACTTACAATGCTTCTGTCCTTTGCATCTTTCCTGCAGCCTCCCCATTCTGCATCAGACATACCCCACTTCCTCTCTCTAAAATTACCAGTTATCTCTCTTTTACTAGCAGTATGCTGAAGAGAGGTTTTGCTATTAAGAGCTTTCTCACAAGAACTTCCCAAAAACCCCCAAAGCAATTTTGCTGTCTCTTTTCAGATCCCTTAAAACCAGATGCTGCTAAAGGAAGCTCTTGCAAAAAAATAAGCTTCTGTTGAGCAGCATCTAAAGCTCTTCCTGAGCATTTAGAAAGTTTTATGTGTAGTAATTACTCCTTAAAGGCCTTAGGAGATGGCTTTTTTCCCTCTGCATGTAAACAGCAGCTAGTTCACGGATGTCCCAGTTCCAGAGTAGCCTTCCTAGAGAGCAGCTTTAGAAACAAACTCACTGGAACCTTCCAGCAGTACACTGCCAGCCAGTGTGCTTTCCAGACTCCTTTCCTCAATGCGCAGCAGAACTGTGGTAGTAAAAAAACTGGACCCTGCACAAATGGAGACTCTTCACCCCCACTTTTCTACACCAAGCTTCAAAATTCAGTCTAGCCTCAAAAATCTAAGGATAGCCCAATGCTCAGAATAATTAAACCCTTGAAGAGTTTTTGTTCTGGTTCTTCAGTGTCTGTTATTTACTTTTATTTTTGTTAGTTTTGTCAGTTTAAAGGGGTTTTTTTGTGTTGTTGTGCTGAGATTTTGTGTGGTTTGTGTGGTTTACTTGCTGGCTCATATTGGAAATTGTTGTAGTTAAAGTTCAGTTTCCCAGAAGATTCTTACTTCAGCAAGTCAAATATTTATATGGTGTCTCCTCTACTGTGTAATGACAGCATTCTATGCAGCATTTTTTAGTGATGAGGCACTTTGTAAGTGCCAGACTTGCATAATCTGGAAAATTCTGAATTCTCATGTGTTTCATTACATTACTGTTTTTCTCTTTTCCTGCTGAAGTGGTAAAATATTTGCTCTAGCTTGATGGGTTCCTCCCCAGACTTAAAAAAAAATGTTTGGCTGTAGAAAATATCAGGTCTCCTGCAGCAAAGCTGATCTGTATTTTATTCTTCTGGTTTTTTACTTTATTAATGTTACAAATCTATGTCAAATCGGTTATTCACAAACATTTTTTTGAAGAACAAAACCATCACTAAGTCCATCTGAGAAGTCTTCCGCAACTTTTAATTACTGATAAATTTAATTATCATTACTAAATTTGTCAAATAGTTAGAACTTAGTTTTATTTACTATTTTTAAATAGGTTTTAAATGAGGGAGAAGAATGTCTCTGGTCAAACCTGAAAGTAGGTTTAGGCAATTATTTCTAAAAGACATGGCTGTGCTCACTTCTCTTACTGTGGCTTTGGATACAATTGAACATTGGGAGAGCTGCACCACAATCAGGTTTTGAAGGACTCATTCCTTAAAGCTGACAAATTTTGCTGGGGATAAAAAGACAAAGTTCACTGCAAGGTCTTGAGTCATTATGCTTTGGGAAGGGAGAGAAGGTGAGCTCATCAATCAAGGAGACCCACAGCTGGATATGGTGTTTTAGGGCAATTGCTGGTGAACTGTTTGCTAGAGAACTTTTGTAAATATGTACACAAATACCCAGGGCCACTGGGGAAGGCCGTGGTGACCTGTCTGCTTCTCTCCTTATGCAACACAGTGAGCTTGGTGACGTATCTGAAAGTGATTTGTAATTAACTCTCCGGCTGTTTGTTAATTGCACTTTATCTGTCCCTCAGATCTGTGTTGATGTGACTTCAGGAGCTCTTTAGGAGGATAGCTGAGGGCAAAACCTAGCCCAGGAGGAGCACGCATGGAATTGTTTAAATGATTGGTTTAGAGTCTGAAGTTAGAAGAGCACAGCTGTCAATGTGTTTATGGAGCAGGCATTGGATGCAATGGGGTTTATTATTAACTAGACTGAACATGAATCATATTGTAAAAATCTGCAACAGGTTCTAACAACAAGTGAATCTCTTTTTTTTTTCCAAGTTATTTCAAGATTCTGGTTGTAATGCACATCTCAGAGAGCACTGCCTAGTTACATAAACCAGTGATAACATTTCCTGTGAAACCAGTGAGGCTGTATCGGTGTATTTTGAAGTGTGACTTTGTTGGCTCACTGTCATTGTGAGTTGTAAAATATGCCCATTTAGAGACCTTATGTGGAACTTTGAGTGCCACTAACATTTAAAAGCTGATAGAATAAAACAATTAAATTATAAATACAGAGCAAGCCACACAGCTGATAGTAGAACTGCCTTTGTTTAAGTGTTCTACATTAGACAAATTTGTCTTAATAATGTCTTCTTAAGCTTACATTATCTTTCCTTTTGAAAAATAAACAGCCCAAACCATTGTTCTTTGCTAACAGCAGATGACAATCACCCAGAAAACCTTTGATTTGGAATTGTCTCTGATGTTTCAATACAATATTTGACAGCTGAACAGGAAATAGAATTTTTAAATTATACCAGTTAATGTTCAGTATTGATTACTACAGTCATTGAAAAGAAGCTGAAGAGAATAAGAACCTGTTTCATAGTGTAAATTAAACATAAGTATTAAATACTCTGTCTGAATACCAGTCTTATCTTTGCCCTGACAGGTTGATCATGTATGGCTTTGTGAAGGCCATGGTACATATTGGCCAATTAAAGCAATGGGAATTCCACTTCACTGACTGTTTATTTTTTGGATCACTGATGTCTGCCACAGATCCAGGTAACCATTTCAAATAAATTACTTTTTCAAAAGTTAGAAGAGTAAATAAGAACTGTACATGTCATTGAAATGTTCAAAGTCTCTGTTCTTGTTTTTGTTTTTTTTTCTTTCCTTAGCTGTTAAATATCTGATATTCTGATAATCGTAAGTCAATCAAAGTCAAAGTCAAAATCAAAGCTCCAGAGGTCCCTTGTGGGTTTTTAGTAGCTGGTTTTCCTAGGTTGAGATCACAAACTTTATAATTGAGGTTGCTGAAAAGATTGGGAAAATGTTCTCTGATATTCAGGACACCACCTGTTGCTTGCTGATATGAGAACTGCTCTAAGCTGCAGCCTCAGAGATAATAATCACAACCTCACATCCACATGTGAGTTTAAAGATATGGGGAATGGAGCATTCAAATTTGGCCATATAAATACTGTTTATACGGTAACAATGAAGTGTTCACAATAAATACAACTCTAAAAAAACAGTTACCAAGAAATTGACTTGAATTTCCAGATGTGAGATTTAAAACCCAAAGTTACAGATAAATGGCAAAGTCTGGGAAGCAGACTCAGTCAATTTTGAAATCACAGAATCATTGAGATTTGGAGGGATGTCTGGTTGGATTCTAGTCCAACCTTTCAATTAAAACAGTCTAATCTCAAAGTTAGCCTGGATTTCATAGATTTGTTCAGGTATGTTGGAAATGTTAATACGAGTTACTCATATTAAAACTATTGCTATTTGCAACTGTGGGAACACAGTAAAGGAGAAGGTGAAGAGATTTTTTTAGAGGTTATCCACAAAGACAAAGTACAAATTCTGCAAGGGTGCATTGGATTTTTGCAAAATTTTCAGTCGAGCTGTTAAAGGAAATGGAACAGAAACCATTTTGTGATGCATGTTAAATGCTGCAGTAGTGTTAAAAAACTACCCTTGAGAAACTTCTCTGAGAGGCTTAGGACTAAATTTCAATTTCTTGGCTTTTAAAATAAATGAGAAAAAGTAATATTGTTCTACAACTTTTTTCTAGTCTCTAAATGAAGTCTCAATATTTAACAAAAGATTTTGGGCTTGTGATTTATCATTCTGACAGCTTAAAAGTACAGTATAAAACAATTTATTTCCACAAAACCAGTTGTTGCAAGATTACTGTAAAAGCTACCTCAAATTGTTATTATCAAATTAATCCACACCTCCAATATGCTGCCACTTCTTAGATCACCCAGCTATATTAATAAGACTCACCACATGATTGAACCCTACTACTCACAGAGCAAGAGAAAAACACAGATTTTAGAAGCACAAGGAGAACCTAGGAAAATAAACTGCTTGTGGAATAAAGCATCCTTACAATTTCCAAGTATATTTCTTGATAGTGCTATGAATAGGCTTTTGCAGCTGGCTTAGTTTATTTTCCCATTTTCCAGTCCAAGACTATTTAGTTTCACAAATGTTGACTTATGACAAGTAATGTATAAGACAAAGGCACTGATTTTTATTATAAGAGTATTAAATCACCACTGATTAATCTGGAACAATCAAAAGGAAAACAAAATCAACAAACCAGAAGCTCCTCTTGCACTGTAAGGAATAAGTTACAAGCATTACTTTTCCCAGAGTCTTTAGCAGGCTTGAAAAGCTAAAGCTGCAGTTGAGAAAAATATTTTTAGTGTGACAAACTGTCATTGATTAATATTGCTTCTAATTACTTCTCTGCTTATATAGTGTCTGTGCACATCCAAGAGTTTTTTAATGTTCAGTCTTGCTCCCTCTGATATCATTCACAATATTCTAAGTTGTTTTGTGTGTTCATTAATCTTCTTCATAAATTTCAACCCATCAAAGACTTAAGAGAATTTTGAATTAAGTTATTCATTAATTAAATGGTCAACACTGCTGAAAATATTTCATTGTGTTGTAGGATTTGCTAGTGAATTATAGAAGTGTACAAGCATGTAAAGAGCTCACTGGCATTCCAAAATCAGTTAAAATATGGTTCCCTAGAGGACTGATACATATTAGGGCATAAAATAATCAGTATAAATATTTTATCTGTGGTAACTAGGGTTCATTTGGGGTTTTTTTAAGAAAACTTTAGTAAAATGTTGTTAGTGTTATCAACAATAAATTAGTCTTAAGATGAAATAATAAATTCCTGTCAGATTTGCTTCATGATTTTTCATTTAATTCTTCACTGTGCAGGATTATAAACTCATTTCAAAAAGAGATTTAATTTCCCTTGGCTATGGAAAGCAATTAAGTCTCAAAAGATGATAAAAACTGATCTGTTGACTTGACAGAAGTTGGTTTGATTGAGCTCCTTATTTGTGATAGCAAAGATGGCTGGTAGGTGTTTACATGTTAAATAAATACTTTTACTTTTGGGGCAGTAAACAAACATATGCCAGGCAAAATTTTTTAGTATTGTTAAGAAGAAGGAAATAATGTCACATCACTCTCTAGGTTTTAGTTCTGAAGTTTATCTTAAGGTTTTTCATCTAGTATTTTGGCATAAAAATAATTCAGAAGAATTACTCTTATATGCTGTGTGTTCTCTTACACAGAAAACTAGCACTTGAAATAAGACTAAGAAATTAATTTACTACTGGATAGACTTGGGACTGTGTTTTGCATTATAGACTGCGATCCTTAAATATCCACAATACTTCGTGATGCCTCAAAAAACTTCCATGTCTCTAGAAAGGACAGTTAGAAACTTCAGGGACAAAACAAGGTTACTCTCAACCACATAATTCATCTTACAGAGAACATCTCCTTCCAATAAATTTTCATTTTCAGTAGAGAAAGTTTCTCATTTTAAGAATTCAGGTGAGAGGTTAAATTTTGAGAAGTAGAATTTTAAAATTCCCAAATTATCCCTTCATTATTCTTTGATTTAAAACATGAGACCTGTATTTACATTTTCCCTTATTCTGATCAATAGGCATAATTTATCACATTGTCAAGGAAATCAGATCTTATTGTTTCATTGCATAAAACAGCACAAAAAGCAGTGAAACCCGGTTTCACTGCTGAAAGGGTGTCCTTGCATTAATACTGGGATTTGGTTTCTAATGCACCCTGATTCTGGGAGTGTTTTGCTGTGGTCACTCCCAAGGTGACAGGGCAGCTCTCCCTTGTTCTCTGGGGTGCTGCTCCTGAGAGCAGCAGTGAGCCAGGGAAAGGCGCTGCCACCAGAGACTGCAGAGTGACACTGCACACGAGGGAATTGTGACCCAGCTGTCCTCTGTGACTGACAGGCTGCCAGTGGCTGTAAGGGAATAATGAACAGAACAGTCCTGGCACAGGGATGTAAAGATGGGACCTCTGCCTCAGCCACCAAAAATACACCAGCAACTCCAGGGCCGCTGCTATTAGCATGTTCTGGGCAACGACCTTCCCGTGCAAAGACATTTCACATACCTTTAGCCCTTCCTTTTGTTTTTTTTTCTAACTTTTGATATTTCAAGTATAGAAAACAGATTTACCTTCACAGGGTTTGCTGAAGCACAGCTATTTCTGAGCTACATGAACTCCCTTACCTTTGGTCACATTGACAATCACAAGGCTCTTCCCTATTTGAAGTTACTATGGTTACAGCTGAACAGGAGCTGTGGGTTGCATTGCTCTTGTTATTGATAAAATTGGATATTTATCAGAAAGAGCATTTTCTGTTTCTCGTAAAATCGAAGGATTTTGCATTAAGAAGCGTAATTTATAAATAGAAGGTAACGCATTTCAAGTGCTCGTTATGTAAGACAGTTTATAAATGTGTTTTTAATTAAAATATATGTCTGCTTTCTTCTTATTCACCACTGGTCTGTGAGTGCTGTGACTTATTAATAGGGAAAGAACGCTATAATTCAAACTGGAATCTTTATTTTTAGACAAAGTCAATAGGAAATAAAAGATTTCTCTAATTTTATTTTCTTCCCAATTGATACTGCACTCCTAAAACAATTTAGGCCCATGAGCTATGAAAGATATTCATAGTTCTAGTTGGAAAACTGAAGCAAAATAATACCAGTACCTTATATAATAATGTAATTTATTTTTTGTTTCCCTATTCTTTTAAAAGTAACAGCAAAGTAGCATTGGATACAGTTAGCACAGGAATTATTGTAGTTTGGTGATTTTTCAGTTATATATACTTTTTACAGGGATCTATAACAAGCCAATTTCTTTCTACATTTGTCAAAAGACACCTTTCACAGCTCCACAAACACTTCTTATGACTTGGGTACCACTGAAATCATGTTGGGCTTAGCATGTGACAGATGTTACCTCAGCCCATAAAGTCAAGGAAGAAGTGAATCAGACTTCTGTTGGCATAAATACTGTGCAAATCTTAGATGCCTCACTATTTCCTGCTTCCCATCACTGAATTTTTAACTGAAGTTCACAACCCTTTCTGAGTCAGCAGCTCTGGTACATGTTATTTCTGTTGGTGTCTGTTTCCTACTGCCACAAAAAGTGTTGGTACTCCTCCAATGACCTTGCAGCCAGTTCTTCATCTGCCTCTCTTTCTGTCCTCATGCTTACATTGAAATGAGATGTGTACTTTAATGAAAAGTAGTTTGGTATTTTTATAATACATACTGTATCTAATGAATTATACAAATTTTTGAGTAGTTACCACATAAAAACCAAGCCCTACTTACTGTTCCTCAGCAGTGCCTTCAGAAAGCTAGGGCCCAAGCTGACAGCAGTGCAGCATTTACAGTCTTCACTTAGATATCAAAGTTCTCGCAGACTAGACATGTTACTTAGTATAAGTAACTTGGTATAACTATATTATTTTTAATATAATAATTATTTTAGTAAGTATATTATTTTTAAATTATTTCCCTTGAGTTTTAAAGTCATCCCTTAGACAAAATATGATGTGACTCGTTGGACATGATGACTAGTCCTAGAGCAGTATTGTGTAATGCTATTCAATAACTTTAATTAACTTTCTTATACAGCAGAGTATCACATCCCTTTTGATGTGTCCATTCTGACCTATGCCCAAAGATTCTCATAATTAATGAAGGCAAATGTGATCATGGGGAAGTGCCTAGACTGTGGTGGTCAAAACAAGGTAGAAATGTTTCCTGGAGCTCTTAAACAGGGTGGATGTGCTAAAGATCCTGCAGATCTCTGTTCTTGTACAGATACAATTTATAATTTTCATTAATGCGTTGGCCAATGCAACACAGAGTGTTTCTTTATTGTACAATATTCTGCTGAAAGGAGATTGCAAACATTTTGAAAGGCATGGATAGAGCTCAATGTGATTCCTGTAATGATTTAAAATAGACAAGGATAAATGGTACACTTGAAAAAAAGCATCTTCATAGATAGCAGATAAGAAGTGAGCATTCACTTCTGAAAATTATTTCAAGTTTACAAAATATGAAAATGAGTCGTAAGTACCAATACATAGCAAAAAAAAAAAAAGGAAAACAGGATTTATTAACATGTTCTACAGCATTTTATCAATCTGGTTTTAGGCACTGTATTTCAGGAAAGATATGAGCTGATTAGAGGGCAAGGAAACATTACTAAAAGGAGGAGATTGAAAGAAGTGAGTCTTTTTAGGGAGGAGATGTATGGCAAATGAGCCTTTGACTAGACAAATTCTGCTGAAAGAAAATCAGAATAAAGATGACAAATTTTTGTTTCTCATTAGGCTAGGAATGGAAATTGCAGACTTGAAAAGCAGGAGGGGAGATTTGGGTTAGACATGATTCAGGAATAATTGCATTTATAAATTGTATGAATACTGAAGAGCAAGTTAGACTCCTTTGGGATTTGTGGAACCAGCATCATTTCAGTTCTTCAAAAACAAATCAGATAAATATCTATCAGCAGTGGTAGGGCTGAAGTTTGCTCTGCCTTGGGCCAGACAAGCAGAGGGACAGAGCAGAGACCAGGACCCTTCAGTCAGGGACAGGTAAAGAAGATCCAATAACCTCCCCTGGAAATGGGAAAACATTTGAAATGGAAGATACTTTCTGAGAACTCGGTGAACTGGGGAGATTCTCCCAGAAGAAGCAATTGATGCATTACTGCATCGCTTGCTTTATTATTTTGCTTTAATTTGAAAAGATTAAAGTCATATTTTTGGGGTAGAGTTGGGAAAGAAAGCAAGGAGAGAAAGTTGATTACTTAGGAGGCAAGAGGAAGGAGAGGAATGTGTAGGCATCTGTCTAATTGGCTTGGCCTGCTACACACACCCCAGCAGTACATTGGACTTTGATTACTGTTTTCTTTTCCTTCTATCATTATCACAGGGACTATTAACAAGAGCCCAAACTAATTAGCTAATAAGCAAAAGCTGAAAGTGGCAAATAGTTTTAGCAAACAAGTCTGTTTTTTTGCCAATGACATTAGAGAGCAGGAGACTAAACTGAGTCCCCATTTAGCACATTAAGTCAGCATTGCTAATCAGGCAAAAACCTGAATATAGCTGTTGGTGAAAGAAGAAAATATCTTCTGTCAATAAAGCTTCTGCCTACACCTTTGAGCTATTCTAGGGAAAGAACTCTTTTCCTAGTTTAAATTATAACTGCAGTGGGAGTAGATGGGTGAGGTTACCAGGATGGTTAAATATAACTAGCTAATTTAAATACAGCTTCATCAGCAAATGTTCAACTACACACATCTCCTAAATTGTCTTCTGTAGAATAACACTTCCAAAATTCTTCAGAGATAACACATCAACAGAGTTCACTCTAACATAAAATTTCACAGGAAAACTGAGAATCTATTTTGGTTTATAAACTGATTTTGAGATTACATAGCTATTTAAGTGCCATTTAGAAAATCTTAGAAGCAGTGCTTTCAAAGTTCCAAGAAATATTATTAAGACAAAGAATAATCAGCTGGTCATGCTTTTGTATGAATTTTCAGCTGTCATGTAAATGTAAAAGTATATCATTTTTATTTCTAAAATGTCAGATGTGAACTTGGCATCCCAGAAGCACTCTTAATCTTTGGGATTCCTGGCCTATGAGGACTGAGCGAATTGCACAGTTATGTACTAGAATGCTCACCAGTGAAGCAGTGAGTTACCATTTCATTTTTAACCAGACAAATAATTGAGGATCTTTACATTAAATTCTGTTTGAAATTAGAAAGCTCTGTTTTTTCTATGCAAAGAGAAAATAATAAGAATAATAAGAATTCAAATAATACCTACACAGAACATAGACAGCCTTCTTCAGCTGGAGATTATGAAGTGCAGGATAGGCCATAGGAAGGACTGTGAGCCCCTTTCTGCAGGGAAGAGCGAAAAACAGAGAAGGCCTAAGTTAATATCTACAGGACTTAATTACCTGAATATGAACTAAATGTCTAAATACTCCTGAGGATGTGTATCTAAATTGCTCACCTTCAATTTAAATTCACCACACTCTATTTTTTCTCTTGCATTGGTAAACTGAAAATCAAATATAGGGTATAACTCAGGGAGAAGTAAAGAACTTAGACCAGTGCTATGCTGAAGGAGCCTTAGAATGGGTTATAGGTGTCAAATATCCTGGGTTGGGTCAGAGACTTCGTGGTTACCCATGAGCTACATCCTTGTTGAGCGTCGGGCAGCACAGGTGGTTATGCTGCACATTCCTTAGTGAACATGTGTAGCAGATGGATAAGTGTTATTATATCCTTCTTAAAACAGGTAAACCCCTACTTATCACACAAAATCCACAGTAAAACCCAACTCTTTTCAGCATCCTTATTCCTCTGTGGTCACAAGATCACGGTGCTTTATGCACACTGAAACATGCTGTGACATTTTCATTTCTGTAGGATTCTCTGTGTGAGAGGGAAAGCTTCTTCCTAACTCAGCTGAAGCAGCAAAACTCATGGGCTTGATGAATTTAAGGATCTTACATATTCTGGTTGATCCTTCTTAACTCATTTTTATCCACTTAGGCAATGCATAGGACTGGGCTTCTCAAAACCAGTATTCTAACATTGCTTTATTTCTTGAATTGCCAGAAGAATACAAAAATAACAACTCACTTTGCTTTCTTTCCATACAGTGACAGTCCTTGCTATTTTCCATGAGCTGAATGTGGATACAGATTTATACACACTCCTGTTTGGAGAGAGTGTCCTAAATGATGCTGTGGCTATTGTGCTGACACAGTAAGTTACACCCACCTCCATTCTTTATTTGGTGAGATAATTAAAACTTTATTCACTGATATCATTCTCACTGATATAGTTTGTTCAAGTACAGCTAGACCATTTGAAGATTTTGTTATAAAGATGTGATTTTAGAATTTTTCTTGGTTTGTTAACACTAGAATTCCAATATTGTTCACAGCAACTGTATATCTACAATGCAATTTTTATTTAATGTTCTTTAACCCAGAAAGCAGTATATTCTGTAAAATTGTAAACTTCATTTATTATGATTTCTTTTCTCATCTAAACAAGATATCTTGAAAAAATAATGCTAAATGAGCACCTAGGGCATAGGGCAACTATAAAATTCTAGACAGGTTCTTTTTATTTTTTGCAATCTATTTTCCAAGATCAAAACCACAAAGTGGTACACAGTATCTGTTTATCTACTTCTGTCTATGGAAGCTGGCAGAGCTTTCAGCTGATAATATTATCTTAAATTTATATACAGCTTCTTTATTCTCAGGAATCCTCAAACAGATCACAAATGATGGGCCAAAATCACACAAGTATGTGCTGTCCTAAAAACACAGATGCTAAGTACATGATTAACAGGATCTCAAGTTTACTCTACTCTACATGTATTACATGCTTCCCAGAGCTTTGCTAGAAATACAAATAATCCTCTCAGATAATCTTAAAAGTAACAGAACTGCAAAGTCAGATTCAGTTCTCCACAATGTTTGGAAGGTGCTTCACAGTAAGCCTCAATTCAGCGCCAATTTTCTCCTTAAAACATGATTTTATCCATTAATAAATTTTTCCTATATTTCAGAAAAATAGGATTTATCCTATCTTTCAGAAAAAAACCTAAAACTTTTAAAGAGTTCATAGTAGTTAAAAAAATGAGCTTAATATTTTGTCTGAAACCCCACGGAGTTTCAACTTATAATAATTGTTGCAAAAAAAACCCAAATTTGTTTCAGAATACAAAAAAAGAAATAGTATTACTATTTAATTTATCATTCTCCAATTATCAGTCCAATAACCCTCGCCTACACTAAACTCCTCTCACAGTTTTCAGAGCAAGACCAATGTTTTCAAATGCTATCAAGTGTCTGAGCACAGCAGTTCATGATTAGATACAGCATGGCTGTCACACCCAGGGACTGGGCTGGAATGTGTCACTTGGGAGAGCTGGTACATCAGATAATAAAATGGACAAAAGGAAAAGTAAGCAAAGACCAGAGAACTGGGTAGTGAGAACCCACAGAAAAGCACTGAAGCAGCTAAATTCTGATGAATTGGAAAGCATCTAGGTGGCAATAAGTCTGAGATTTTTCTCTCTCCCTTGGCATTGTTTAATAACAACCTAAACATCTTCAGCTCATTTAGACTCTTCATCTGTTAGTGCAAGGTTCCCAGACCAGGAACAGTGAGGCTCAAATCAACTCAAGGGAGCCCAGAATGTTTTAAGTTTCTCTAGTTTTCAGTCACCCTGATGCCAAAGCACACAGATCTCCCAAAGGAGCAACTCAACTGCAGAACATATCTAAAAAGAAAAGTCCCATCAGTTTCCAGTTCCATCAGTATTCCAGTACATGATTCATGAGTTTCTAAACTCTGCTCTTCCCAGTACTCAAGTCTAGGTTATGCTCCTCAGCCTATCATCTTCTCATATTTTCTTTGTTACATGGGAGATTATAAATCTTTACTACAGAATCTCTTGTCACTGGGAAATTTATGTGGTTTTTAATATATTCACTGTGACTGATTCTTTGATTTTTATAGTAATTTGTAGAGACTGAAGAGAATACATGGCATCATCAGTTTCACATTTCATTACTCTCTGGCTTAAATAATCAGCTTCTGCACAAATACAATACTTATGCAACCCAACATAATCTTCCTGTAGCATTTTAAGTGAAGATATACTGTTAAAATTGCCAGCTTCAGGTCATTAACACCCTACTAAACCAACCTGAGTTTAAATGAAGAAAATGGCTTTTCTGTCACTGCAAAAGAACAGCTATTTTTTTCCCTGTAACCCATACAATTCTTGTCTGCAAACACAACATGTTCATAATTACAGCAATAGAAGTCTATTTAAAAAGGTGTGAGAATAATGTTTACAAATCTGGAAAAGCAATAGTAAGTCATTTAGTACACTACATAATGATAACCAGAAAAATAGAATATGTAAACACACATTGTCTTTCATTATCTAACAGAATAAGTAAGATGATGTCTGCAGGGGTGGCTCACTGCACGAGAGGCAGGAAGAGAAAAGAGAGAAGGCCCTTATGGCTGGAGGTGGCAATTTGGCAAGGTGAAGGCAGTGTGGCTGTCTGCCAACAAGGGCTTAGATTGATCTTTTCTTTCAGCTTCTCCCTCCAACCTCTATTTTTTCTGTGCTGTTTATCATTTAGTTTAAGAAGGACAGCAGCAGGACCAGCTACCCCTGCATTTTTCTACGTATTTAGCAAGTCACAAGAGCTGTGTTGCTGCAAGAGTATGCACACAGTGGCCAACTGCCCTTGGAAAATACTAACCAAGGACACAAGTTCTCTGGGCAGGTTAAACAGCTCTCCTCTGGCCATCCTGCCCCACCAAACACCTGGGTGTTTGTGATAATTGCAAGATTTCATTTATAGTGTGCTATTTTAAGATAATCCGTGCAGGAGGGATCACTGTGACTCAAATTGACAGCAGTGGCTGCAGGAAGGCTGACAAGCTGTTGTGCATCTGGGAGAGCTCACACACACAAGGGCCTCTCTAAACAAGGGCATTGGAGTGCAACGAGGACCTTCTCATATAGAAATCACTTCCAGAGTTTCTTACCACTTTTTATTACTGGGATAAAATTCTCCTTTTAATAAAAACTTTTGAGAATTCTCACAGAAAATAAACATCAAGAATTCAAAGTATTTAAGAAAAATTATAGCAGAGCCTTACAAGACAATAGTTATTAGATTATTAAACATGTCTGCTTTTAGCCAGAAAAACCCATATGACTAATTATGCCACAAATATTTCCTACATACTTTGTTTTCCAGAATACTCACTGAGGAAAATCCTGATAAAAGTAGTTTCATGGTTCCTCTTAAATATTTCCAGGATGAACATATACCAACTCAAGTCATAGTACCTTTTCTTTGCTTAAAAAATATTTAGTCTAGATGTACCTTATACAAGTTAATATCATCCTCAAACTAGTCTTTCTTGGCAGAAGCTTCTATAGGGCTTTCTAAAATAACATGGCAAAGGTAACAGATTTATTGAAAGGGTAACAAATTTATTGAAAAACAGTATCAATTTCCAGGGGAAATAACTCGGAAGCCAGAGCTCAGCTCAGTTTGTGCTGAGCCCCCTCTAAGTTTGCCTGTTCTCAGACAGTGATTCCTATCATTATCTTAGGCAGACAAGAGAATTCCTTCTGACACACTGGTGATTCTTTCTGGTAGGCACAGTCATCATAGTACTAATTTTAGTGTAGTTTAGGTCTTTCCAAAATATAAGAAACTATGTGATATAATGGACCTCAAATAAAAAATTAATAAGAATCTTTAAACCTTTATGGTTTTAGGTACTTGTTTACCTGTAATGTTATTATTTCAGTGGGTTTAATTCTGTCATTATGTCATCAAACTTGAAGGTAGCATACACAAGTGAGAAATGTAATCAGAGACTGAAGAAACAGACATTTGACAAACACCAAATACAGTTACAAGTATTGTATTCAGTCTGTATTTCATGTGGTCATTGGCCCAGTGAGGTAACTGCCCATTATCAACAAGTGTTACTTCCCTACTTTTCACAATTTCTGATTGTTTTTCCTTGTGATATTAAAATCAGCTCTTCTGCAAAGGACAAGAACAGATATTGTAACTATGCTGCTGAATAATGAAGTTGGGAGCTGGGAGTTGCAGGAATAATACTGGCTTTGAAAGTTATGATGGGTATCTCCTTGATGCATATCTCAGTAGAAGTAAAGCTCTCTTTATGCTTAGATTTTTCTTTTTAGTTTTGTCATGGACTGTCTCTAATTTGGATCCTTTGCCCTTCCATTTTTAAAGCATTATTCTGCACAGTTTTTGCCACACTTTGATCCCTGAGCACATTGAATAACAAATTTTACAGAGGAAAGACATCTGAATGTTCTCTCATCATATTTTTCTCACAAGCTGCAATTATATTCAGAAAGTGGCCTTTAAAAGTGACATTGTGGGCTTCCATATGTACTGTGTCAAAATCTTTTGTTTCATGTGTATCAATTAAGAAACAAAGACTTTTCTCTAAGCTAATCCTGTTTCAGTTTCCTCCCCACCTGTAGGTAACTGGGAGTTTGCTCAGTCTAAGAAAACAGGGAATTCTGAATCCCCTTCCTCTTGCTGAGATTTGTTAGGCACTATTAGGAAAAGACAAAAGTATTGAGTCATCAAATAAGAAAAAAAAATAAAAAAAAGAATGCTGGTTTCCCTACAGCCCTTATATTTTTAGCCACTTTTAAAAGCCTGTATTCATGCAATTTCTTAGTGTCTTTTACAATACCATCTCAGCCACAGGAGTGAAAACGAAATTAATTTAAGTTCTATTTATTTCAACATGTCTCTGAGTGCAGGCAAGATGTTATTCACACATCCTAGGCATGTCAGTACACAGAAATAGTGCAAAAAACCACTTCCATCCAGAAGTGGGCCCTTATGTACACACAGCTAATAGCTTTAGTGTACCTATACATAGAGCTCTTCAGCCTAGGTAATTCTTTTTCAAAAGATAAAAGCCTCACTTCTTGCCAACAAAGGTACAAAGTATGCGCAGAGCCTTTCCAGGAAGGAAATAGAGGAAATAAAAGCACCTGTGCCATCAGACAGGTGACAGAAAGATAAAAAGTATCAACACATGCAGCATCTTCCTGTTTAAAGGAAATAGATTTCATAGGTGAGAAGAGATGGTGAAATGAAGATGTAAGAAAATGAGGTGGTGGAAGTAACAAATGGACATTGTGAAGGTATGGC